ACCGCTTGCTTCCAGTGGTGTGGCTGAGATTTGGAAGGCACATGGCTTTGTGCAACTTTGGGCCCAGCCTGCCATTCACAAATGCAATTTGAAAAGGCTATTTCTGCCCAAAGCAGTGGGAGGCCACAAAAAAGCTGGGAAGTTCAGATGCATCCTCAGAGATTCTGGGTCTGTACCAGGTGCTGGCACACTATGTCCAAATTTGTTGCTTGCCTAATGGCATTTGTCTTCTGGGGTCAACTTGCTCTTTGGCTTGGTGCAAAGTTTTGGACTATCGCCTATCCATCCCTGCTTTGGAAAAGCCTGACTACAAGCAATTGCTTTCATTTGTTGAAGCAGCATTGGAGGCAACTGTTGCAGCTGACTGGTCGGAAGAATTCGAGCCAAAGATGCGCTGGTCACTTCATATTATAGTCAAAGTCTCCAGAGGCATGGCCAATTACCTGCATGCTGGACCATGGAAAGGAAGCACAAAGGCACTAGAAAACATGGGAATGTCTTGTGCAACACTACCTATTGGGAAACTTCTCTGAGGAAGTCTGTCATTGCAGGGCACATCTATACATTGGGTGAAGAGTCAAGACTGTTTAGAGAAGGCACCTGCCTACAAAATGCAAAGGGGGCCCCACAAAGAAGATGACGGCATTCCTATGCAATGCTGGCGTGGTTCCTGTGGGAATGCCTTGCATGCAGAGCTCTCGTTGTAAACTTTTTTCTTGGGCAACAATTACTTCTGGTGATGTTGTCTGTTTGCACAATGTGGATGGAGGCTCACCAGCTGTCAATGCAGCTCAAGAGCATTGCTTTTTGAAAGTCCCATGTGGTGATGTGGCCCTTGTCGAAAAATATTTGTTCCTGGAAATTTCAAACAAACATCCGGGTGTTGCTTCTTTACAAGAAATCTCGTGTGCTGGCACTTACAATGCTGCCAAAGGCAGGGTGACATGCCTCACCCCTGCATTCTTGCAACTTTGAAGGGACATGCAATTTCCATCCACAGCAAATGTCTTTGGAAAACAAGCTTCGGTGGTATGCCCAACAGCCGCAACGTTTTATGTTTACTAATCTTTCTGGAGCCTGCTGCCAAGCCAAGCGCTGGAAACACTTCAGCTCGGTTTCCGTGAGTTAAATGGCCACAATTCCTGTTGAACTTGACCTGGCTCTGCACCAAAGCCTCCCAGACCTTCTCCGGAAGCCTGTTGAACCTGACCTGGCTCTGCACCAAAGCCTCCCGGAACCTTCTCCGGAACCTTCACCAGAACCCTGTTGAACCTAACCTGGCTCTGCTCCAAAGCCTCCCGGGACCTTCTCCGGAACCCCGGAGCCCTGTTGAGCCTGACCTGGCTCTGCACCAAAGCCTCCCGGAACTTTATCCGGAACCCTGTTGAACCTACCAAAAGGCTCCGGAGGATTAAAAGGATTAAAAGGATCAAATCATTTAATCCTTTTAAACCGTTTAATCCTTTTGATCCTTTTAATCCTCCAGACCTCCCAGAATCCCAAGAAAAGCCCAGCAATTTAATTCTTTAAATCCTTTTAATCCTTTTGGACCGGGAATTCCGGACCCCCTGGAGGATTAAAAGGATTAAAAGGATTAAAAGGATTAAAAAGGATTAAATCATTTAACCCTTCTAATCCTTTTAATCCCCTAAAGGGCTCTGGAGGATTAAAAGGATTAAACGGATTAAACCATTTAATCCTTTTAATCCTTTTAATCCTCCAGACCTCCCAGAATCCCAAGAAAAGCCCAGCAATTTAATTCTTTAAATCCTTTGAATCCTTTTAATCCTCCAAAAGGCTCTGGAGGATTAAAAGGATTAAATGGATTTAAATATATTTCTCAAGGGCTTGGGCCCGGAATTCCGGACCCCCTGGAGGATTAAAAGGATTAAAAGGATTAAATCATTTAATCCTTTTAATCCTTTTAATCCCCCAAAGGACTCTGGAGGATTAAAAGGATTAAAAGGATTAAATCATTTAATCCTTTTAATCCTTTTAATCCTTTTAATCCTCCAAAAAGCTCTGGAGGATTAAAAGGATTAAAAGGATTAAATCATTTAGTCCTTTTAATCCTTTTAATCCCCCAAAAGGCTCTGGAGGATTAAAAGGATTAAAAGGATTAAATGATTTAATCCTTTTAATCCTTTTAATCCTTTTAATCCTCCAGACCTCCCAGAATCCCAAGAAAAGCCCAGCAATTTAATTCTTTAAATCCTTTTAATCCTTTTAATCCTCCAAAAGGCTCTGGAGGATTAAAAGGATTAAATGGATTTAAATATATTTCTCAAGGGCTTGGGCCCGGAATTCCGGACCCCCTGGAGGATTAAAAGGATTAAAAGGGTTAAAAGGATTAAAAGGATTAAATCATTTAATCCTTTTAATCCTTTTAATCCCCCAAAGGACTCTGGAGGATTAAAAGGATTAAAAGGATTAAATCATTTAATCCTTTTAATCCTTTTAATCCTCCAAAAGGCTCTGCAGGATTAAAAGGATTAAATGATTTAATCCTTTTAATCCTTTTAATCCTTTTAATCCTTTTAATCCTCCAGACCTCCCAGAATCCCAAGAAAAGCCCAGCAATTTAATTCTTTAAATCCTTTTAATCCTTTTAATCCTCCAAAAGGCTCTGGAGGATTAAAAGGATTAAATCATCTAATTCTTTTAATCCTTTTAATCCTCCAAAAAGCTCTGGAGGATTAAAAGGATTAAATGGATTTAAATATATTTCTCAAGGGCTTGGGCCGGGAATTCCGGACCCCCTGAAGGATTAAAAGGATTAAAAGGATTAAATCATTTAATCCTTTTAATCCTTTTAATCATCCAAAAGGCTCTGGAGGATTAAAAGGATTAAAAGGATTAAATGATTTAATCCTTTTAATCCTTTTAATCCTTTTAATCCTCCAGACCTCCCAGAATCCCAGGAAAAGCCCAGCAATTTAATTCTTTAAATCCTTTTAATCCTTTTAATCCTCCAAAAGGCTCTGGAGGATTAAAAGGATTAAATGGATTTAAATATATTTCTCAAGGGCTTGGGCCGGGAATTCCGGACCCCCTGAAGGATTAAAAGGATTAAAAGGCTTAAAAGGATTAAAAGGATTAAATCATTTAATCCTTTTAATCCTTTTAATCCCCCAAAGGACTCTGGAGGATTAAAAGGATTAAAAGGATTAAATCATTTAATCCTTTTAATCCTTTTAATCCTTTTAATCCTCCAAAAGGCTCTGGAGGATTAAAAGGATTAAAAGGATTAAATGATTTAATCCTTTTAATCCTTTTAATCCTTTTAATCCTTTTAATCCTTTTAATCCTCCAGACCTCCCAGAATCCCAAGAAAAGCCCGGCAATTTAATTCTTTAAATCCTTTTAATCCTTTTAATCCTCCAAAAGGCTCTGGAGGATTGAAAGGATTAAAAGGATTGAATCATTTAATCCTTTTAATCCTTTTAATCCCCCCAAAGGCTCTGGAGGATTAAAAGGATTAAATGGATTTAAATACATTTCTCAAGGGCTTGGGCCGGGAATTCCGGACCCCCTGGAGGATTAAAAGGATTAAAAGGATTAAAAGGATTAAATCATTTAATCCTTTTAATCCTTTTAATCCCCCAAAGGACTCTGGAGGATTAAAAGGATTAAAAGGATTAAATCATTTAATCCTTTTAATCCTTTTAATCCTCCAAAAGGCTCTGGAGGATTAAAAGGATTAAAAGGATTAAATCATCTAATCCTTTTAATCCTTTTAAGGATTAAATCATTTAGTCCTTTTAATCCTTTCAATCCCCCAAAAGGCTCTGGAGGATTAAAAGGATTAAAAGGATTAACTCATTTAATTCTTCAAATCCTCTCAATTATCCAAAAGGCTCTAAAAATTATCAGAATTAACCGGAACAAAATGGTACCTAAAGGTCTCTCGATCATATATATATATATGGGATATCATCGATGGGACATGTGTGAATAGCTTGAATAGCTGATGACTTAAAACCAATCTTAAACTTCCCAAAAAACTGGGTTCAACCAATAGGAGGTTTGGGATGGGGAGACATTGGTTCTAAGGGGATGGGTCAATACCAAATACCACCAAACTTGAGTCGATTTCCATGCGCTCTTTGGTAAAGAAGCCTAGTAGTGGGAGACTTTCATGTTAGCATCTACACATCTGCGTTTTTCCCAAGCTTCGTCCACCGGAGGGTATAACTAAGATAAATTGGAGGACAGCAACCCATGATGATTGGGGTAGTGTTAAAGACAAGAAAGACGTGGATGTAGTCACACCCGCAAGTTCCCGCAATCTTTTTTCCACACCAACTTTCATGAAGTTTCAACAGATCACTTCAACGGTGGTTTTTCTTTTTATCCCACCCGAAAAAACCCACAGACGCGGCTCGGCCCAGGTTCAATCTCCAGTTGTGAACGCCCAGATTGCGCAACCTCTACTTCCTGGTCAGAGCCCTCAAGGACACGATGATTTCTGTGCTAAATGATCTCTTTATTTTGGATTCTGAATAATGAAGTTCCGAAATTTTATTACCTCTGTTCTAGGTATGTGGTATACTGTATTGCTTGGTTGTCTGATTTGCTCAGAATTTAAGACCATGACAATTTTCTGTCATGTTTAGGAGAAAACCCTGCCATGTCTAGGGCACCCCATTTGAGCCATAGGCCATAGTCATGTACCCACCTTACATCCAAGTCATCCAAGTACAAAAACATACCCTCTGGTTATGTCTAACATAGCTATTGAAAATGGCCATTGAAATAGTGAGTTTTCCCATTAAATTTTCGGTGATTTTCCATAGTTTTTTGTATGTTTACCAGGCCGGGTATCCCATGGGTCCCATGACCACAACAGAACACCGCTCGGATCATTGAGGGATCATTGACGTCCAATTGTATCTCCTCCAAGTACAGTGCCTCCAGTAAATTGACATAGATATGAGATATGAGTTTGTTTGAAAATTTGGTATGTATCAACAATTCAGTGGATGTTCCTCATTTTCTCCATGAACTCGCCATCCCATGGCCACATAGGACGCTTTTCGCCAGTGCATCAGCAGCAGCAGCAGCAGCAGCAGCCAAGTCGAACATATGCCAGGCCAGGGATCTGTCAGATCGGTTGTCCGTTTTGTGAAACAGAAACATCACGGGTCAGGCTGGGGAAAAAAAGGTGGATATGATCTTACCGGTATTTGAACATAGCTATGATACGATGGTAAAGTGAAGCATTTATGTGTGATTTACCTTTGTTAACTAACCCATGAAGATGGAACCGAAAATGGTGATTTTCCGTGGCTATCTTGAATAACTGCTTCAATAACCACTTGTCTAATGCTCATAGTTCATAACTCACCAACTATAACTACTCCCATCCCCTGTTGATATGAGTTATACCGTAGTTATACCCCCGCCCTATATAAATGGTCCCAAACATGGTTTCTAACTCCCCAGCTGTTTGATACGAACGGGGGATGGGATTATTTTGAGACATAGGGTCAGGCTGGGAACATTATCTTAAAAGCTTTAGGCTCTCGTCCAGTTGCTAGGCCAAAAAACCACATGCTTTTGTATCACCGTATTGGTTAAAAAGAACATTGAAAGGGTTTTTGTTTTGGCCCAAAAAAGTTGGGGTAACAAAAGCCATGGGTTTCCTGTAACATTTTCCCATAAACCCATGGCGTGCTTCTACACAGCATGTTAACCACAACCATATTCTTGAATATTCTTGATTTGTATGTGGGATGGTGATAGAATCACAGCACCCCGGACACAAGTGGTATATTATATATATATTATATTACTGTATATTATATTACTGTATATTATATTATATTATATTATATATTATATTATATTATATTACATATTATATTATATTATATTATATTATATATTATATTATATTATATATTATATTATATTATATTATATTATATTATATTATATCTATATATCTATATATCTATATATCTATTATCTATATATATATATCTATATATCTATATATATATATCTATATATATCTATATATATCTATATATATCTATATATATCTATATATATATCTATATATATATCTATATATATCTATATCTATATCTATATCTATATATATGTATATATATACATAAATATGTATATACATACATATATCTATATATATACATGTTACATATATATATATATGTATATATATATTTATACATATATATATATGTATATATATGTATGTATATATATATATATACATATATATGTATATACATACATACATACATACATACATACATACATACATACATACATACATACATACATACATACATACATACATACATACATACATACATACATACATACATACATACATACATACATACATACATACATACTACATACATACATACATACATACATACATACATACATACATACATACATACATACATACATACATACATACATACATACATACATACATACATACATACATACATACATACATACATACATACATACATGCGTGCATACATACATACATACATACATACAGACAGACAGACAGACAGACCGACAGACAGACATACATACATACATACACAGACAGACAGACAGACAGACAGCCAGCCAGCCAGCCAGCCAGCCAGCCAGCCAGCCAGACAGACAGACAGACAGACAGCCAGCCAGACAGACAGACATACATACATACATACATACACACGTACACACGTACACACGTACACAGTACACACATACACGCGTACACACGTACACACGTACACACGTACACACGTACACACGTACACACGTACACACGTACACACGTACACACGTACACACCTACACACATACACACATATACACATATACACATATACACATATACAGTACACATATCTATATCTATTTCTATATCTATTTCTATATCTATATTTATTTATATCTACATCTATATACACGTATGTATATGAATCAGTACACCTATTTATTGTCTGAACGGAATCTCAATAAAGGTGGGATATCTTCATCGCAAAAATATCAGGAGCTTTGTCCATGACACATCCAACACAAAGTGGTATTGTTCAGCAGGACTGGACAGAAGATGCCACAAAAGTGTTGTGTTGATGTCGCAGATTATTCTTACGGAATTTCCAGATCATTATCCATTTTGGAGTTGCTGTAAGGATTGCAACAGATCCTTTCTACCAGACGTAATACTAAGATTCATCCTATACAACTCCCTCAGCTTCACATGGGAAGGGTGAAGCCAGTTCGCTTCGTTGCCTTGATTGTGTGAACATTTACAGGACGTTTATCGTTTTACCCTTCAAAGATGGGGTTTTCCTATTTTTTTGGGTGGCAACCCATGAAAATCCCACATGTCATCGAGTTTTCATGATGAAATCCCGTTCACTAACCTAAGGGGGTCCCCTTGTAGAGAAGAGGTTATACCATATAAATCCATATAATATACTGTACACATTTTCTGCTATACCACCTTGAGATAGTCGGTTGTCTACTGCACACATTTTGGTTGGTTAACACATCCATATATCATGATTGTGGGAAGGGATCAATAGGCTAACCACCTGCTTTCAAGACTTAGGCTCAACCTTTTTTTAGTTCTTCGTTCTTCACCCCGCTTTTTAAGTGACCCTTCGCCTCAAGTTTTTCTCTCAAAAACCACATGTTTCTTGAACATCCCCAGAATTGGATGGGACAAATTACAGGAACTTCCTCTATTTCATTTTAAAACCCATAAACAATCCATTAAACAACACATTAAAAAACTCATAAAGACCCATCGTTTCCCAAAGATTTTCCCCAAAAATTCACTCCGGCCTAGGCCCTCAACGGCCTCCCCGGTGTCAGCGGCCTCGCCTGTGGCCCCACGAGCGTTGTGGACGCAGCCGGCCGCCGGGGCCGCGGGGGCCGCGGGCGCCCCTGCGGTTCCTGCGGTGCTGAGCCGGGCGAATTCCATTCCGGTGGGGTTGGGATGCCCCAGGGGGAAGGGATGCTCCAGGGATGGAGAGTGAGCTATGGCTGGTGGATTTTTTTGTGGGTTGAACTATGGCTGATTTTCCAGCCATGTTTTTTTCGGACACCCCTCCGGCCGCCGGAGGCAAGATCCCCTCTGGTAATTCAAGAGTCTGTGATGGAAAATCATACAAGTAATCCATATATTGGGAATAATCATCCCAATTGCTTAATATTTTTCAGAGGGGTTCAAACCACCAACCAGTAATCATCGAACTAAAGGAGCTGTCTATACCATAGCTCTGCCAAATTACCACAAGCAAATTTTTTGCACCACCCATTTTTCTAGGAGGATCTCATCCCACTTGGGTGATCCCATGACTGAGGTTAAAACCTAAAAAGGGATGGGGGTGGGGATGGGGTCCTTGGAGGGGCAACTAAGGCAACTGGTAAGGATTCTTAGAACCTGGGAGAATTTTTGCAGTTCTGGGATTCGGGATAGTTGGGATGTAATTTGATGTAATCGAGTTTTTTTTCATCCAAGTTTCAATGTCTTTGGGGAGATCTCTGGGGAGCCAATCTGCGATGGGATGGGCGGATCAGCTGAGGAGTCCAGTGTCCGCTGCACCCAAACGGGCAGGGGCGCTCAGATTTTACAGAGTTTTGTGGTTTGACCGAAATTTCTTCGCACCGTTCTTCTTTTAAGACAGATATGTACTGGTGTTGTTACAAGTGGCATTTTCTTCAGATCTATCAGATATGGACTTGGAAGTACACATTGGTCCAGGGAAATCTTTTTGTGGGTTTTAAGGCTGTAATTGGAAATGTGGCTGGTCGTAAATGTTTTTTCTTTCCCTAAGGATGATCCCTAGTTACTATTTTGAAGGGGAGGGCTCTGCCACCAAACGAGTACATGAAGTACATGATGTATTGAAGCAGTTATGATTTCTACCCGCATCAACGGCTGTGTCAACCAAACCACCAATCTAGCTGGCTAAACTGTTGCTTTGATATTCAAGTGTGTGTATATATATATATATTTACATACATAAACATAAATACACCACATCTCGTATTCGTCCCCCCAAAACATCCTGTAAATGTAAATTTAATGTGGAGCCTTAAATATGTTTTCCAAAAGATTAGTTTACTACTTGGGATGGCCTTTCTTGGGTTTCATATTTGATTGGGGGAGTGTAGGGTGTATCCTCCAGTAAATTAACACACAAACGTAGAGTCGTAGAGCATTTTCATGCAGCTTTGATGTTTCACCCAAAGGTTTTCCATATCGTTTCGCTCATTTGCCGGAGGATAAGAATTCCATCTAAATCCAGTGATGAATCAATATAAATCATCACTTTCCCATTTAAACTGCGTTGTGACAAGTCAGCTTCAAGGTATCTCAGGTGATGCTGCAGTCCATTGCTGCCTCACCCAAGAGGGCTGATCCACCGGTGCCCCAGTTGATGACAAGAATTCGGGTTTATGCTGTAAATAGCAACCCGAAAAAAGATAGATAAGTTGGAAACCTCGAAGTGATGGGGAAATCATGATGTATAAAATCCTGGATAGATACCAACAACGTTTCGGGGGTCATATATTCAACTGGGATTGATGGCTGTGCGGCTGTGGATCAACACCCGGTTGTCCCTTCTGGATGGATGTTCATCCAAAAGACGGTCATATCGGTTTTGAGACATCCCGGTATAGCTAGATGGGGTTATAAACCAACCAGTAGATGGGGGGATCTTACTGTACGTACCTTCGGGAACATGCATAATTATATATATATATAATACATATATATATATATATAAACAATACATATATATATGATACATACATATATATATATATATAATGCATAATATATATATATAATACACAATATATATATATATAATACATACATATATATATATTTATAATATATACACACTGTATACACGAAAATGGGTTTGTCTGAAGACAGGGTACCCTAAATCCGATAGTTGATCGTCACTTTCCCATCAGGTGACGATCAATGGCCGCGTCTTCGAACGAGTCAAGGAACTTGGAAGCGGATCCTTCGGCGTGGTGTGGGAGGCCGGGCCGGGGCTGGGAAGATGTCAAGATGGAACGCTGATATATATGCAATGTATATGAATCATATACAATATAATATAATATGATATAATATAATATAATATAATATAAGTATCTAAGATGTATCATGGGGATGGGAATGAGCACAGACGTTCAAGACCTTCTGCGTCCCAAAGTTTTTTGCCTCCTTTCGAATTGGGTCCACCAGTTTACTTTCAGTGAGTGAGGAAGTTGTGCACCACCCAAAACCAGGCAACTGGTCTTCATGGATCCTTGTTCTCCCCAATTTCGGACACTCGAGGACCCAGTGCCCACTGATTAGCAGATATCAACATCTACCCTCAAGCAATCAACCATGGCTTGCTCGAATTTCCATCCATTCAACTCGATGATTTTCCCGGCGAAACTTCCACGGCTTGGCCACGGGGATTTTCCAGCTTGTGTGATGACACCCTTTGGGGTATCCCAAACGGAACTGCAGGTGGTTGAACAAAAGCCAAAGGAGCCGGAAGACGGGCCAAGATCTCAGCATCTGACGGCAAGATCTGACATGAGGCTTTTGTCGCCTTGAAACCCTACTACCCTCCGCTAATCAAACATGGCTTGCTGGACAATCACCCATTTAGATCATTCACTTCGTTTTTTCTTTATACTGTATATATTGTTTTCTCATTCAACCCCCCATTTATACGACCTTTCCCAGCTTGCCATGTTTTTTTCTTTTACCGCAGGGTCTCACGAAAAAAAGAAAAACAGAAAAACCTCTGTGCTTTGGAAAATGAGGAAAGCGGTGCCCAAATTGGCCTTGAAGAAGAGCACACCAAACAAGAAGGTGGGGGGCTCTGAGGTGAAAGATGCTCATGGACCCCCCGAAAGATGCTAAAAATTGAGGGCAAGGGCTCTGAGTGGCTTTCAATCATGGGTGAAGGCTCCAGCCCCCAACGGCCCCAACGATACAGAAACCATGAGCTGTGGATGGTGTCGGCAACTGCCAGGAATTGTTGGAGGCATGTCTGTTGGAGGCGGAGGCCAGAAACCACCAGGGTTTTACCGGCTGAAGGAGTAGGTTCACATTGCTGACCCAAGTTATCAACCCACTTCTTCCATCTGCAATTTGGAATAGCTATGGAACATGGCCCGTTTAGTTGGATGATTTACCTATTGAAGTGGTGATTATTCATAGCAAACTGTGAAGTTACCAGAGGGTATCCACCATAAATGCTCCAATTTAATCGATGTTCGCACCAGACCAGATGTTCACCCATACCCAAATGATGCACCACTGGCCCTACGAAGGGAATTGAACATGTGAAGGGACCCCAACACAGGGGAAACCTGTGGTTTGCCTTCAAGCTTTCGAACCATTCCCATCTCTGGTTGGTGTTTCTTTTAGATATCTTACAGTCTATAGCCCTAAACAAATTGGATGATGGTCCCAACTGAATTTCACATCTTCGGGATTTATTTGGCCCAAGAATCCTGCCATTTGATGGGTGGCTCAAGCAACAAGCAGATAATTCTTGGGTAAGACTTAAGAATACAGCAAACCACAACTATCTTTCTTATAACAGGAACATACAGTATCCTCTCAAATGCATATATAGTGACATGTCAATACAATATGTTGATATGTCACTATTGACACTATTTATTTATTAACAAGACAATCTCACAATATCTCATAATCATAGTTCTCTACTCTATGAACTAACAATCTCATAATCACTCTAGACTCTAACTATAAGATATTTCTCTGTACCAGTAGTACCGCACAAGGCGGTGGCGGAAGTTTCAAAAATAGGAAACCTATAGGAGAGATTGGTTGTTGTGAATCACGGATGGCAGTGCGAATCCACTGATGGACCGAAAGGTGGTTGGAGCTGTGTTTTTTGGAGTGGCTGCAATGGTTGCAGTGGTCACCTGGTCGGTCACCTCACCCACAACTGCTGGATGTAGTGTGGTGTAGTGCAGCTGTAGTTGTAGTTGTAGTGTAGTGGAGTTGTAGTTGTGGTGTAGTGTAGTTAGTGTAGTGTAGTTGCAGTTGCATTTGTGGTGGTGTAACGAGTGTCGTGTAATGTAATGTAAAGTAATGCAATGTGGGGTAGGGTAGTGTAGTGTAGTGTAATCGAGTGTAGTGTGGTAAGGTGTGGT